CCCCACCGCCCCCGCAAGCAAGAGCCAGGCACAGCCCATGTCAACTTTCAGGATTTTTCTCCCCTGGGTGCCTGTGGCCCCACCTGCAGCTTCTGTGGGACAACCTTTGCTCTGACAGTCCACTCATCCGCTCCCTGAGCCCCCTCTCACCCCCAGCAGATCTGGGCATGTTTCTCAGGTATAAACACAGAGCAAGTCCCAGGCACAGGGTCGGTCAGAGCCGCACCATCCAGCACCGCAGCCACTTGACAGAGGCAGCCAGTCCACACTTGGAAGGTGGCCAGTACGAACTGAGATGAGCTGCTGGTGTGAAGTACCCTCCAGATTTCAAAGACTCAGTGTGGAGAAAAGAATGCAAAGTATTTCTGTAATAATACTTTACACTGAGTCTATGCTGAAATGATCACGTTTTACTATATTGGGTTATATGACATATCATGAAAGTTAATATCACTTGTTTCTTTTTACTCTTTTAAGGCAGCTACTAGAAACCGTAAGGTCGCGTATGCAGCTGGCGTCCTATTTCTAGGGGCAGCACTAGGATAGACTCTGCAGGGACTGGCAATTTTTCCTGTAAAGGGCCAGACGGTAAAGATTTTGGCTTTTCGGGCCACACTCAACTCGGCCATCGTAGCAGGAAAGCACCCACAGGCAAAACAGAACGGAATGAATCTGGATGCGTTGCAATAAATTCAGATTTGGCTCCTGGTATATAGTTTTCCGACCCCTACTTTACAGCATTAATAGTATTAAAAGGGGTCATTTCTGGGAAATTCCGGACCAGCCATTAGGGAAAATCCACCTTCCATTCAACTGGAGGAGGGAAATACAAGTTGATTCGAAGCTTCCCTGACTGGGAGGCTCAGCTGCCCGCCCCCCGGGGAACCCACCAAATGCACTCACTTGGGCGTGTGGGCCTCGTCTACGCGGTGACCCAGCTGGAACTCGTGGGACTTGCTCCGATGCAGGGCCGTGAACCCCGGGATCAGGTGGATCAGCTTCCGGGAAGAGGGCGGCGGGGTCCCCGGGGGCTTCAGCTTGTTCTTCCTCCTCATGGGTGGCGTGCCGGGCGGGGTCACGGTGGTGACGATGTTGGGGGTGCGCGGCGGGGTGCGGACCGTATGCCGCTGCCGGGGCGACGGAGGCAGGGACCGGTGGCCCGACTCCAGTGGCAGGGGCGGGCACAGGCCCGGGTAGGCGTCCACCGTGAGCCTGTCCACGTGGGTGTACACGGGGGCCCCTGGGCTGGGGCTGGCGTGACAGTAGTGCTGGACGCACTTGGACTGGACCCTGGGGCTCTGGGAGAGGTGGGTGCGGATCCACGGGGTCGGCTCCGGGGGGCACACGGGGTTGTTCTCCTTCCCCGTCTCCGTGGTGGGCCACTGGATGGTCCAGTCTTGTTTGGTAAGGTTGCCTCCTGAGTTGGGACAAAGGAGCAGAGACGACAGATGAGCCATGGGAAAGCGGGTGAATTACACTGTAGGCACATTACCGTAGACGCGCATTACACCGTATACACTGTGCACCGTGCGTGTGCTGATTACAGCGTGCTCTGTATGCACATTTACATAAATTATGCACGGTAGGCTGTGTGCACGTTTACATAAATTATGCACGATATGCTGTACGCATTTTACATAAATTCAACCACACCCACTTGGCCCCTCCAAAAAGAATGAAACCCTTTAGTTGACCGTCTCACCATAATCCCCATTCAACAGCCTTGCCCTCCACTGTCCAGGGTTGGGGAGCCCGCAGCTCAAATGTCCAAGGAAAGAGCATGGCAGGTGTGGGGAGAGGCGAGGAGGCTGGTAGGGACAAAAGCATAGAGGTAGAAAGGAGATTTTCTTGTCTTACAACAGTTTATTAGAAAAAATGGAGCACTAAAAAAAAATCCTACTGCCTGAATGCAACTTGAGGTTTTTTTCAGCCCTGATATAAGCTAAGTCAGAAAATAAAACTAAATTCTATAGTTCACTAACATTTTTCACTCATTTGCTGTATTAAGAGTGCAAATACGTATTTGGTCTACACATACAGACTCTCGGGCTACAACGTGCAGTCCTACATCCTCTACGCTAAGAGATGTAAAAGCCTAAGGGTCAAATACTGAGACCAAACGTTCAGGCTCCAAAACCATCTAAGTCAGGTCAGGCACTTTCCTGGGTCCCTTTTCCGGTGTCTTCTCGAAGACACCGAGACAATGAGAAAACTGGCTCAGGAGGCTGAAGGGACAGGTGAGGGCAGACCTCCAGGCCCATGTGGATTTTATACCAAGTTCAACAGGAAGCCATTGAGGGTTTTGATCTAAAGTTCATTTCTCTAGTTAGCATCTATCACCATACAAAGATATTACATTATTATTGACTATATTCCCCAGGCTGTAACTAGACTTATCGTGGTGATCGTTTTGTAATATATAGAAATTTCAAATCACTATGCTGTATACCAGGAAGTAACAGAGTGTTGTAGGTCAATTATACTTCAAAAGACAAACAAACTTACAGAAAAAGAGATCAGATTTGTCATTACCAGAGACAGGGGGTGCGGAGGAGGGGAACTGGATGAAGGCTGGCGAGAGGTACAAACTTCCAATTATAAGACAAATAAGTACTAGGGATGCGCTGTACCACATGATTAATATAATTAATACTGCCATTTGTTACACAGGGAAGTGGTTAGGAGAGTAAATCCTAAGAGTTCTCATCACAAGGAAAAAACTAGTTCTTTTTCTTTTCTTTTGTATCTATTTGAGATGATGGATGTTCACTAAACCTACTGTGGTCATCCCTTCATCATGTATGTAAGTCAAATCGTTATGGACACCTTAAACATACACAGTGCTGTATGTCAATTATTTCTCAACAAAATGGGAAGATAGATAGATAGAGAGAGGTAATAGAGGATAGATAAATAGATAATAGATGATAGATAGATAAAATTTAACTAATCCAAAAAAATCTAATAAAGTTCATTTCTCAAAGACACTGAGGCTGCTGCTTGGGCAAGGAGAACCCAGTTAAAGGGTATCACAGGGCTCCCGGTGAGAGAGGATGCTGGCTTCCACTTGGGTGGTGGCAGCAGAGATGGAGAGAAGTCAGTGGGTATCAAGAGAGGACCACGGGGCTTCCCTGGTGGCGCAGTGGTTAAGAATCCACCTGCCAATGCAGGGGACACGGGTTCGAGCCCTGGTCTAGGAAGATCCCACATGACGCAGAGCAACGAAGCCCGTGTGCCACACCTACTGAGCCTGTGCGCTAGAGCCCGCGAGCCACAACTGCTGAGCCCGCGAGCCACAACTACTGAGCCTCCGCTCTAGAGCCCGTGCTCCACAACAAGAGAAGCCACCGCAATGAGAAGCCCACGCACCACAACAAAGAGTAACCCCCGCTGGCCACAACTAGAGAAAGCCCGCGCGCAGCAACAAAGACCCAACGCAGCCAAAAATAAATAAATAAATAAATTTGTTTTTTAAAAGAGAGAGGACCACGTGGCAGGACCTGGCAGAGGGCGATCGAGTGGGCCCTCCCATCACAGGCCAAGCTGAAATAAATTCCAACTCGTGGCCGACTGGCAATAACAATAATAATTACTATAAGGACCATAACAAGAGCTAATTTATAGAGCATTTGACAGTTTACAAAGTGCTTTCATGAACACTGACTCACTGCCCCTTTTTAAATTAAAAACAACTCATTTTGTTATAACATATTCATTATAGAAAAATTAGAAAATTCGGATAAGGAAAAAGGCAGTGTTGTTCTACAGCCTAGCCATCCTGCCTATTAATGCTTGGCTGTGGAGGCTGCCAGCTGGGTTGCTGTGCTTTTTTTTTTTTTTTTTTTTTAAAGAAACCCCATAAGATCTTATTTAATGGTTTGTCATCTGTTTTCTTCATTTGTTATATTGAGACTCTTCCACATCTTACTTAATTTTCATAAATCTGTGTGCAAAGGGCCATTTTGATCTCTACTTTGTAGATAAGGAAATGTATGTGTAGAGATGAAGATGTTTCCAAGGTTACAGCAGAGATGGGAGCTGGCCTCTCGGATTCAAACCCAGGATCTTGGCCAACTCAACAACGAGGGCACAGGGCCTCTAGGACAGTGGGACCTGCATTCACCGAAGACCCTGGACCGTCATAATCAGCAAAATGGAAGCAGGAGCTGGAGCAAGGGCTACTTCTGGCAAGAGTCTCCCTTTTCCTTCCTCCCAGACTTTGCCAGAACATTCTACCAAAATCACCATCACTATGGTGTGTCGATTCTCAAATATTTACACATACACATTAGCCCAGGAACTAAGAGAGCCAGCTCTGGAGTCAGATGACTTGGCCCTAATTCTGGCTCTCCTGCTTCCTGGCCGTGTGACCTCGGACACTCATCAAACTTCTCGGAGTCTTAGCTTTATCAGCAGTGAAACAGGAAAATAGTAGACCTGCTCCGAGGGAATATTATGAGGATCAAATGCAATAACACAAGCAGTGTGCTGAGCCCAGCACCTGGCACTCAGCAGGCCCTCCATAAACGTTAGCTGATTGTACTGTAATTCTCAACACCATGGTGATGCGTTGCTACCTCCCGTTTAAAGCGTATACACCTGTGCTGAGAGCTGAACACGGCACCAGGTGACGTCACCTCCCTGTGTACCTCTCGGAAGGTGATGTTCAGAGAGGCTGAATAGCTCTGAGAGCTGGGGGCAGACAGAGAATCAAGCCCAGATCCGCTTGATTCACCCAGCAAGCTCTGGATTGATGTATTTGCTCAGGAAATACAAACACATTGGCAAATGAGCCTAAGTAAAACGTGTAAGAAAGTAAATCTATTTTTGTAAGTTATCTTAATCACATACCACACTCCAAGGCCACAGGGAAGTACCTTGGGCGTTATCGCTAGAGCTCATGCTCCCTTGAGTGAAGTGAAAAGAATATGGGACTGCGACTCAGAGAGATCCAGCTTAGAACTCTGGTTCCACCGCTGATCAGCTCTGTGATCTTGGGCCAGTTACTTGACCTCTCTGAGACTCTGGGGGTTTGTAAAATGAGAATGAATAATCATGGCTCCCTCGGAGGGTGCAGTGAGGATTAAACACATTCATTCACCCAAGTATATTTCACAAATATTTGAACTCTTCCTGTATACCAGGCACTGTTCTAGGCACCGGGATACAGCAATGAACAAAAGAGACGAAAGTTCCTGTCCTCACAGAGCTCATGTTCTTGGTAAGGAAACGGAGAAGAAAAGGGGATGAACAAAAAAAGTAACATTATATTACTTATAAGATGTCATATATAATATAATGCCCATAATATGTCAGTGATAATAAATGCTAGGGAGGAAAAGAAAGCTGGACGTGGGCACCAAAAAGGAGTATTGGGGCTACTTCAATCAGAAAAGGATGCAGACGTGACAGTGGGCATTTGAGCAAATATCAGAGTGAAGCAAGGAGCGAGTTAATGAGATAAAATGAGTCGAGCTGTCAACACAGAGCCTGGACTACATGATGATGCAGACAAATGGGCGGGGGCTTGAGGATGAGTGAGACGTCTATTCTGGATGCCTGGGATTCATCTAGCCTGCTCCCCAGGCATCCGCTATACCAGCACCTGGGGTCGGGCGTCTGTCTCCCCTGTCCTCGAGATGTTCACAGGCCAGTGGGAAGATCAATGATGAAATAAGCACTCACTGCAACTGCACTCCCAGGTGCAAAGGAATTGAAAGCAGCACTCAAATGTCTGTATGTGAATGTTCACAGCAATGCCAGTCACAACAGCCAAAAGGTAGAAACAACCCAAATGCCCATCGACTGACAAATGGATAAAGTAAATGTGGTATGTCCATACAACGGAATATGATTCCACCATCAAAAAGAATGAACTACTGATACAGGCTACAATTTGGATGAACCTCAAAAACACGATGTCAAGTGGAATCAGCCGAACATGAAATGTCACATAGTGTATGATTCCACTTACACGAAATGTCCAGAATAGGCAAATCCATAAAGAAAGAAATCAGACTAGTGGTTTCCAGGGGCTGGGGTGGGGGAAAGAAGGAATGGGGGGCAACTGCTTAATGAGTACAGAGTTTCCTTTTCGGGTGATAAAAATGTTCTGGAACTTGACAGAGGTGATGGTTGCACAACGCTGTGAATGCACTAAATGCTGTGGAATCGTTCACTTTTAAATGGTCAATTGTATGTTCTGTGAGTTTCAGCTGGCTTGAATAAATGTAAGTACTCACAATATGGAACCGGGAATCCAATGTTAGAGAAAGTGCAGGTGAGTGAGAGCAGAGGGGAGGAAGCCAGCTTTCTGGGGAGGGACGGGGAAAGGCATCCCGGAGGGGAAGACACCGAAGCCCAGCTCTTGAGGATGAAGAACATCCTAGGAAAGGCGCAGAAGGGAGGGTGCAGGAC